TTGCGCAACGTTTTATATTTATAAAGGTTTGTATGAGATGTTATCAGTTTGCCTTAAAAGAGAGGGAAAAAATGTCTTGTTTTGAAATAAAATGGACTTATTTGCCAAAATAGCACTAACTCGCCGAAAACGCTTCAAAATGGCCTGAGATGCTGGTAATCCACAACGAAAACAACAAGGCAATGAGGTAAGTCCATTTTATTTCAAAACAAGACATTTATTCTCTCTTTTAAGGCAAACCGATAACGTCCCATACAAACCTGTATAGGTACAAAACGTTGCGCAACACTGTAAGAGTCACTTCCGCTTTTCTAGTAGTGAGCTTGGGCTGCCTGTGAACCAGTCGACTGTTAGAAATCTAGGGTGTGAACTGGTTGGTCACGAATGCACACCCTAATAGAATCACTAGGGAACTTAATAGTTAGTTCTTAGTTTACATAATTTATTATCCAACTGTGCTTTGTAGAGTACAAATAACGCGCGAGACGAGTACAAATATCACGCGGTATTTGTACTCCAGAAATAATTATCCGTGAAATTCGCCCACACTGAAATAACATTTTGGCGTAATGGATAATAAATCTCATATGAGATGTTTTGTTGTGTAGTATCACTGAGTATTTTTACTTGTTGTTTGTGTTCTGACTCGCCCTACGGGCGATAGTACTTTAGTATTATTTTTTTACATAATTAACTCGTTGTTTTATTTCAGGTCGCGCCGGAATTCAGCACAACTTTTCCCTCACCGCAAGCACCTGAAGTAACAGATCCAAGTATTCGCTCAAGCGAAGTTTTGAGAGTCGCAATCTTGGGAGACGAGTGGAATTCACTGAAAGGTGGATTGTCGACTTTCAACAGGGAACTTGCCATTCATTTAAAAAGACAGCCCCAAGTTCAAGTCAATTTCCTTACCCCTAGGTTTGCATGTGGAGAGGAAGAAAAAACAGAAGCTGGAAAACATGGCGTCACTATTGTCGAGGCAAAGCAACTTGAGGCATGCAGTCCCCAAGAAGAATTATTTTGTCCACCGAAAGACCTTGAAATTGATGTTGTAATTGGTCATGGTGTGAAGCTTGGTCGACAAGCTCAGATTATTATGGAATCTCATGACTGCAAGTGGGTCCAAGTGGTGCACACTGCTCAAGAAAAACTCGGTATGTACAAGGACTATCCGAAAGCTGTTGAACAAGGTGAGAAAAAGAACGAGCATGAGGTTAGTCTCTGTAAAATGGCTGACCTTGTCATGCCAGTTGGGCCCGAATTGAAAGGTATCTACTCTAATCATCTACGCTCTTTTGACAAAGAGCAAGATGTTGTAGAATTTACACCGGGAATCATGGAAAATCTAACCGATGTAAAGCAGTCGCCAAACGAGAATGACGTGTTTCAGGTCCTGATGTTTGGGCGTGGTGATGACGAGGACTTCACACTGAAAGGCTACGATATTGCTGCTGCGGCATTTGCTAGTCGTGATCTGAAAAACGATTCCTATCATCTCACATTTGTTGGAGCGGCCCCAGGAAAGCAAGACGAAGTTGCAGCGAAGATTCTCAAGCGTGGCATTTCTGAAAACCAACTGTCTGTCAAACAATATGTCAAGGATAGAAATCAATTAAAACAGCTGTTTCGTCGTATGGATCTGGTTATCATGCCCTCAAGAACAGAAGGATTTGGACTCACTGCCCTTGAGGCCTTATCCGCTGGTTTGCCTGTTCTTGCTGGCTGTGACTCAGGCTTTTCAAAAGCTTTGAAGAAGGTAAGATTTGGGGAACTCTGTGTAGTTAACTCCGATAAACCAGAGGACTGGTCAGAGGCGATCAAGAATGTCCGTCAAAAGGAGAGAGGAAAGCGGCTAGAAGAGATGCAAAGTGTGCGGGAATCCTATGAACAGGAGTACAATTGGGCAAATCAATGCGAGATTCTCGTAAGGGAGATGAGAAGGAAAATTTTTGGTAAGCGTGGTCTTTGTTTTTCCTTCCTATCCCAGCTTTATTCAAATCTTTGACGGTTGAGGCAATGACTTGTGTTTTTTTCTGCTCTTTTGGGGGGGGGGTTGTTCTTCTCTTTTATTATCCATTTATTTGTTTTTCTCGTTATCCATGTAGTAATTCATCGATTTATCTATTTATTTATTTATTCATTTATTTATTCATTTATTTATTTACGAATTCGTAAATCTGTATTCCCATCTATTCATTTCTAACTCTTTCTTTCTCTTTCTTCTTTCCTCTTTCCTATCGTTAGTCCAACTTCTCTAAAACCAATATTTTTACTACTACTAGGAAATCAACCTAAATTCTTTATTATTTTAGATTTAAATCATTAATTACTCTTCTGCTTTTCAGAGTAGAACGTCAAAACATGGATAATAAACCTATCAAGACACGCTGATGATTCAAGTCAGAATTTTTTATTACTGAAGAAATGAACGTCTTTTAATTTTTATTTCATTGCATTAGCAAGGAAAAAGTTAACCTTAATTGGACTTTGTTAATTAACCATTCTAGATGTAAATGTATTAGTTTTGATAAAAATTTCGTCATCGTGGAATTTAATAGTCAGAAATTTCATAGTCATTTGTTTCAAGAGGCATGTTACTCCTAAACATATGATGATGATATTATTTCCCTTCCCGTCTTTTTTTTTTGGTTTTTTTTGACGTTAAAGCTGTGCGATTTAATCCTCTTTGAGCTAGAAAGCTTTTCTCCACGGACCGGAATTATTCTTGATGTGGATCCGTGACACCTGTGTGGAGAATTATTACTCAAAACGCGAAGATGTAAGATAATGTTCGAGTGGTGGAGCAATTTACAGATGAGTGTCGAGAGTTAACAGGTGTCTCTCTCCTTTCCCTTCACCGTGCTCTTTGATTGGCGTAGACGTCCCACGTCAACTAATTCCAACCAATCAGATGCAAACCAAAAACAATCGCGACTTGGTCATTCACATTTTCCTGCGCTTCAGGCTGTTTGCCTTTTTTTATATTTATTTTTTTTACTTCGAGTTTACAACGGTTTCTTGAGATAACTTTTTCCTTTGAGTGACGGCTATGATTACTTGGGTTTGGGTTTTACAACACCCAAACGAAAAGTGATCCAAGAGTAAGAAGAATTTTTTTACCACGGGAACTTTACAGTGATTTGTTACTGTGAAAATACGGGGCACTTTTGTAAAGTGTTCAACAGGCAACAGTCAGTCAGTCAGTAACTTTATTATCGTGTAAAATCTTCTAGCTGACCGTAAGTGGTCTACTAATCGGGGATACTTAAAATTTCACAAAAATCTAAAAATCACAACAAGATATTTAGTACAGGTGTTAACTATATAACGGGTGTATAAATATATAATTTGGATATATCAACAAAGTTGAAATGGTAAATTGGCCACCGTAATGATTACAAAAGCTGACGTTTCGAGCGTTAGCCCTTCGTCGGAGCGAATAGAGGAATTGTGGGTTGTGTGTGCTTTTAAAGGCAGAAAATGGAGCTACGTTATTGGTGGGTGCATGGCAACGAGAAAAACATGAATAAATTAGTGGAATGAAAAGCGTTCATTGATCCCTGTGGGATTTAGACTGCCGGTTTGAAAGATGAGCTTTTGTTCAAGATTTTTACGGCTTTCCGTGCCACCTAAGTGCAAGGAAAGACCGCAGATTGCCATATGTTGCTTAGAATGATTAGGTAAATTAAAATGTCTAGCGACTGGTTTCGATGTGTCCTTGTCATTCCTTTCCACGTCTCGAAGGTGTTCTCGGAATCGGTCACCTAGTCTTCTGCCTGTTTCGCCGATGTATATCTTTTTGCAATAAGTGCAAGTTATGCAATAGATTACATTGGCGGAGGTGCACGTGAAGTGATCGGTGATCTTAATGGATCGTTTAGGTCCCGATATTTTATCAGTGTTGTGAATGAAAGGACACGTTTTGCATCGTGCACGAGCGCATTTAAAAGTGCCTGGTTGCTCATTAGTCTGAAAAGAACTTCTGACCAAAAAATTGCCTAAGTTTTTGTCGCGTTTGAATGAAATGAGCGGAGGCTGCGAAAAGATAGTGC